TAAAAATAATTGAAGTTTTAATTTATATTTGAAAACTGAAATTATATCATATTAAATATTAATATCTAAATTTGAAAATTCATTATATATTTTAATATATCAACATTTAATAAGATAATTTTTTAAATTTTAAATAAAACAATTTAATTTAAAGAACAAAAAAACACTGATGGCCAGCCGAGCTACTCTCTTGTATCAGAGCCAGGTTTCGATCCTGGGACCTGTGGGTTATGGGCCCACCACGCTTCCGCTGCGCCACTCTGATTTGTTGGATACAATGTTCAAGTAAAAGCTTGAAAAACCATGCCCCAGTAATAGTTCCATGTTGTCGCAAATCGAGTGAGGCACATCAGTAGTTATTGAACTGGGTTTTGCTTTACCAACAAGATTGGTCATACCAACCGTTTATTGATTTGAATGGAAAAAATTCAGTTTTTCTTAAGTAAAATATTAAATTTGATTCTTATAAATAAAGAAATAAACATTGAGAGAGTTTCACTCAAATGAGATCCAACACAACTCGATTTTGGATTAGTCAAAATTTAATGTGGTTACCAAATACTGAGAGGTTGATAAAAAAAATAATAATAAGTCGTACCAATGCAAACAAAGTAACAAGACGGAACCAACACAAGCTAAATGTTAGAGGACAAGACAAAAACAATCAACATGTGTACCAAACATATTTGCCTTTTTCTTTTTCTCTAAAAATTTAAAACAGAAAAATAAAAAGCGCACCAAATTTATCTTTTTATATAGTTTTATTATTCAAAAGTCCAAAAACAATGCAACCTAACCACAGAAAAATAAAGAGATATTAGGTCAAGTTCAAATCAATTTTTATTGCCCAACAAACTTTAGACAATTGCATATGTTTTTGCATTCTAAATATTCTTCCCTTCATCACTAACGAACAAATCCCTCACACGTGCAACAGTTGCGAAAGAGTGCTGCCTTGATTATTGATTAGCTTGCTTTCTTATCCCTAAAATAAAGGAAGAAATTCCTCCAATTGGTCTTTGTGACATTAATCATGTGTTATTTTGTCTAACTTTAATTGTCATTAATTTTCTAAATAAAGATGTTTAATTAATTGCTATACTCACTTACTCAGTTTGAAGAGAATTTTTTTTTTTTCAGTTTTGTTTCTATTGAAAGAAGGAAGAGAAAGTCTGTTTGTTGGTTTAGTAAAAGAAAAAACTTTAAGAGTAACTATGAAATTCTAAGTTCTATTGAATAAATGTCTATGTAATCTTACTAGCCAAAAAAAATGTAATTAAAGTTTCACAAAAGTAGCATATGTAATGTTAGTAAAAGAAAGAACTTCAAGAGTTAAGTATGAAATTGCTAGTTTTATTGAATAAATATCTATGTAATCGTACTAGAAAAAAAATGCAACTAAAGTTTAACAAAAAGTAGCATATGTAATGTAGTTGAGTGAAAGAAAGAACTTCAAAAGTAAGTATGAAATTCCAAGTTTTATTGAATAAATATCTATGTAATCGTGAAAAAAAAATGTAATTAAAGTTCAACAAAAGTAACATATGTAATGTAGTTAAGTGAAAGAAAGAACTTCAAATGTAACGTAGTTAAGTGAAAGAAAGAACTTCAAAAGTAAGTATGAAATTTCAAATTCCATTGAATAAATATCTATGTAATCGTATTAGAAAAAAAAAAAATAAAAAAAAAAATGCAACTAAAGTTTAACAAAAGTAGCATATGTAATGTAGTTGAGTTAAAGAAAGAACTTCAAGAGTAAGTATAAAATTTTAAGTTTTATTGAATAAATATCCATGTAATCGTACTAGAAAAAAAAAAACTAACTAAAGTTCCACAAAAGTAGCAAATGTAATGTAGTTTAGTAAAAGAAAGAACTTCAAGAGTAAGTATGAAATTCCAAGTTTTATTAAATAA